AAAAAAAAACAAATAGTTAAGAAAAAAATAATAAACAAGAATAATGAATTTACCTTCAACAAGTGATGTTAATAAAGTAACTGTTGCTGCTTTACGTCTTCCAGCTGGTAGATTAACACCAATTTTTTCAAGTTTTTCACGTAATAATCTTCCACCATTTTTTGATTTTGCTCTAAGATAAACAAGAATTTGATTAAAAAAAAAACTGTTTAACAAAATACCTTCGTAATATTCCTCCAAGTAATGATGCATTAAGACATTCTGGTGGCGAAAGACGTCTTTGAACTTCAGCTACACATACTTTATATTTAGAATTTGAACTAAGTAATGATAATCGTCCTGGTACACTACAAAATACATCTGTTGGAGCTAATGGTCCATTACCAGTACCTAAATTTAATTGAATACCCTCTTTTGTATCATTACGACGTGGATCTATATGAAATAAAATGTATTTTTTCATTTCTTATTTCTTTTAATTTTTCAATTACCTCGTTGAAATGATGTTCGATAATGTTCAGAAAATGCTTGAGGAACATTATCATCAAGACCTGGTACCTAAAATAAATTGATTTTTTTGTTTAAATTAAATTTAAAAAATTGAGAAAAAAAAAGTAACAATCAATTGTTTAATTTACTCGAAAAGCAGCTGTACTCGTTGAATCAGGACCTAATAAACCACTACGATAAAGTTGTAAAGATTCAGGATCAAGTACCATTGCATGACGTGTATAATATGATGCAGCATATTCAGCATAAGCACCATAAGGATGACTTAATGGTGCTGATGTTTCATCGATATTTACATTTGATGAACGTACAAGTGAATTATATGATTGAGATACTTGATTACCGGTATAAGGTGGTGATGATGATGATGTATAATCAAGATTATGTGGATGATTTGATTGTATTTGATCAAATGGATGTTGATGTGAATGATGTGATACATTTGGAAATGGTGGTGGAAAATATGGTGGCTGAAAATCAACTGTACCCGAACTTGATGGTACAGGAATTGATGATGATGATGTTTGAGTATGTGTTCGATTTGGAATTGTTGAAACATTACCAAAATTATTTGACCGATCCTATTTATGTTAATAAATATCAAAGATTTATCTTAGAGAATATTAAATAACTATTCAAAATAAGTGAGATTCTATATAAACACACATCTGAACTACTATATTGAATTTGTATCTTTCTCTCATATAAGACAATTGAAATTTTAGATAGATTTGAAAATCACTGCCAGCTATAATTCTTATATCTATTTTAAATAGATACATATATAGGATACCTTATCATCTTATCCTTATATATGTATATAATACATATGACATCTGTGTACAATGAATAAAAATATTATTTCTCTCTCATATTTTTTTTGTCTATATGTGTGTGTAGAACACTAGCTGTTTCGATGGCAAGCCAATTTACCTGCCAGGAATTTTCGGCAAGATGATGATGATGAAGGTGATGAAATGACATCAGACGACCGCTGGCGGATGTGTTCGTACAATGTGTAATGCTGTGCAAACGCCGCTCGACTCAAATCGTGTACATAGAGCCAGCGAGCAAACGAGAGAGAGAGAGAGAGAGAGAGAGAGAGAGAAAAAAAATTATGTCGGTAGAAAAAGATAGCTAATGGGCGCGCGATGTGTGTAGAGATAGTGTTGTATGTCGTACTGGTTCCGATGTTTCTATTCGTCGTTATTACTTCTACTGCCTTCAAGTAAAAAAAACGACGACGATAGAGTAAAGAAAAAAAAAAGAAAGAAAGAGAGAGAGAGGAAGAAAATCGACTTCTTTTCTTTTGCTGTTATTACAACCAGAATAAATCATAGTCAAGGCAAGATTCTTTTCTTTTTTTTTGGCTTATACGTGCGTTGTTGTATCAGTAACGGCTATCGTTGTTTTTTTCATCTATTCGGATTGGTTGCTGAGTAAAGAAAAACATACTCGAATGCGGATTGGTTATGTCAATAAATGAATAAAAGAAAAAAAAGAAAGGAAGAAGCATATTATTCAAAAGTAGAAGTTAATGTTGTTAATCTTTTAAAAATTTTGTTTCTAAGAAAAAAAAATTTGCTTTATAAACGAAGAAAAATGTTAATAAATAAATTTATGGTGAAATTGTTTTTTTTTTCTTACGAATACCGATCAATTCTTTTCTTTGATTGTCTATTATTGATAGATCTTGATAAACAATGATTGGCTTCACATGCTGCATATAATACCATACATTAATTTACTTCTTATTGATCAGATAACAACGAAATCTTTAGCTGCATCGTACTATAATTAATCAATAGGAATTTTTATTTTCCAGAACAGTAATAAATTTAACGATAAAGAAGTTGTTAAAAATAGCTTATGAGACGTTTTGAGTAGAAACGAATCAATGCATTTTAGAAAATAATTTTTTTAAATATGATGGCTTCTTTTCTTTAAACTCAGCAAAGTTATGATATTAATCCATGAAGTTTGAGATCAATTACAAATATCCTCCGGATTTCATACTAATTTAAAGAATTAGTTTTCAAACACTAATTTCCTCTTTCAGAAGTTCACTAGTCTTAAATATTCACGAATGAACGTGTAATGGCAGTAAAATATTGTCAATTATGCATTATTTGGGTTGTTTTTCCAATTATGAAAACTGTGAAAATGTTCATTTAAATGTCAAAGTCAATAGAAATTATTATTTATTCTGATTACGTCATTGTCAATTTCTTTTTTCTTAAGACATAACTAAATAAGAAGAACTGATCTTGTCCCCATCCCCACCCGATTGAAGCTACGGCGACTAAGCTCTGCCCCAAGCTCTTCCACCAGACAGGAACTGACCATGTGAATTCCTCGAACCAAAGAGCTCAGTCATGTTTAGCTCTTCTTCCTTCACTATCAAAATCCTGGTGATGTCACTAATTTGACATTCACTTAGGATACCATTTCTTATATAAAATAAACAAACAAGATTGAATGATCGATATATTAATCTTTAAACAAAATAGATTTAGTCTAATTTTTTTAAAATGAAAAACAGACTGATATATAAAAAAAGCTCGAGGTAAAATACAAGTCACAATGAGAAAAATATATCAGCAATAGTTCGTTGATCATATGGCTGATGGCGCTTAAGGGTAATAGCAGATATTGTTATCATCAACATCATCATCATCATCATCAGTCTTCAATACTTAAATGGGTTATATCAACAAAATGCATGAACGGTATACGAACGATTCGAAACACTTGAACTAATAGGATGTTGATTCAAGTGCTTAGCTTACCTGATCCGCCGGCGTTAATGTCGGCAATACCTAACTTCTTTAACGTTAAAAAATAAATTGAAATGCATTCGTTCGTTTTTCTTTTACTCATTTTCTACTTGACTTGTCAATAGAAAGAGAAGAAGAAAAAAAAGAATATACCAAACATTTAGTGAGTAAGTAAGCGTAAAAAAAAAAGAAATGAAACATGTTCTCACATTCAGACGTTTAACATGTTATATGTATGAGAACGAATTTTAACAATGTTCTTTTCTTGTCATTAAACAAGGTCAAAAAATATTTCTATCTCATCATCATCATTATCATTAAAATGACTTCAAGCTATAATTTCATTAACGGAACATGATGTCCGCCTTTTTTTGACTACATATCATAGAAGAATCAAAGGTTTAATGTCAAAAGACAATCTAGCCTTAGGCTTTACAAGAATGCAATAGGCTTCTTCTTCTTCTTCTTCTTCTTTGTATTCATTTGACCGGCTGGAATATTTCACACGGAAGCATATGTATTTATGCAAGTGAAAAGCAAATTGTTCATTCAATAAATCTAAGTGATATTCTTGTCTTATTATTATATGAGTTCGAAACATTAATCTATTGTCAATAATTTGTGAATTCGAAATAATATGATTAATTAATATTCTATGCTATAGAATTGATTGTTATGAAATGTTTTCAAAAATTTATTATAAAAGTTTAATTCTTTAGATAATTATGATATTTGTTACAATATAACCTACGATGAAAAAGTAATTGCTGAAATCTTGATTCGCAGTTTTCTGCTTAGGAGCATCGCACAAAATTTATTCTTTTTCTAATTGAAAGAGCAAAATTTGAACTTGAAAAAATACAGGAAAAAATTTCTAAGATTAACTATGAGTGAGAAAAATAAAATTCAATATCAAACATTGTCAAAAGAACTCTTGCAACGTACTTTTTTCTTGATAAATCAAATAGACGAGAAAGTAGTCTTTACAAAACTTTATCGACTTTTATATTTTAAAAGATTTCTTAGTAATTCTTTACCAGTAAATAAAGTTTATTATACATTTTAGTTTTGATAGAAAGCATTAATTTGTACTGGAAAGAAAAATCTCTTAGGCAGAGCTTAAGCTTCCCCTTCAAAAAAAGTCAATTTTCGTGAAAAAAAATGAAAATTGAGATGAACATATAGGAAGATAGCCCAAAGTCTGACCTTTCATAAATGATATGATTTTTTTTATTTGGCACCTCGTTTTTTTTCTAAAAATTTTCCTCATTTTCTACTTGAAAAATATGTTTTTTCCAGATAAAGTGGAAGTTTTTTCGGTCGCGCATTTCAGAATTCTCGAAAAAGCTTTATTGCAGCAAATGGCTTTTGTTTTTGTCTGAAAGATCATGTCAAGATGCAGAGCATGACAAACCGCGTTGTGTTTAATCACGCATTGTTACTGTTATTTAAAAGAGTTCTTTAATAATTAGAGTCCAATTTTTTGAGACACTGAACTTGTCTCTTCTTAAAAGTAAGAATTTAAAAGAAAAGAGTTCTGTTATGTCCTGCATTCTGACATGCTGTTTCAAACAAAAAAAAAATTTAAGTCTATAGAATGAGGGCTCACAGAGAATTTCGGATCACCAAATGAGCTATTTTTGATCCTTGTTAATTGAATATCTCCCGAAAATATCATGGCATAGGACTGAAAATTTTATCATAGCTTCTCCACTATAGTCTCAACATATCCTGAACATCTCATGCGATTTGAATGTTCTTAGGTCAGGGTCAATTTTTGAAGAAATCTTGGACATATTAGTAAAAGAGAACATTTTCATTTTCATCACAGCGCTCGCCCTCATCCTCACACAGTGCTGTGTGTATATAATACATCAATCAGTGTGAGGATGTGATTAAAGTAAAAATGAACCTGAACAGAAGTTGAAAGATTTTTTTGGCGGCGTTAGGTATTGAACTTTTTTTCGCTCGAGAACTTTGTTTCTTATGTTTTTTTAAGTCTAGCCGTTGCTTTATTAGCTAGAAAAGGAATGAACTCTCTACAATTTTTATGAGCGAAGAACCATGGAGCGAGATTTCAGTAATTATTTTTGCAATGTAGGTTAGTATTCGATTATTCCTTTAGAGGAAATATTACTCATACATTATGTGCGCAGCTTTCAGTAAGATTATGATAAGAATATTAATAGAGATAAGTTTTTTTTTGTTATTAGAGAAACTTGTGGGTCGTCAAATACTCAACATAATCATAAATGTTTATTTATTACTATTAATTCAATCAGTTATTATCAAATTGATAGAAAGTATTTATATTCGAACTTTTCAATACCTAA